CGCGGCCAGGGCGACCGCCAAAAAACCATTATGCATTGACTGAGTACGTGCACAGCGGCCGACAATGCATGACTGCTCGCACCGGCCTCCCTCTGCCGGTTGCTTCCCGCTGCCGGGCACCTCCCTTCTGGCTGGCGACCCGGAGCCCCCACGTCCTCCGTGGCATTTTCGCCGTGGCCCGAAGATCCAGGCCGCACAGATGGGCCTGGAGCAGGTGGTGTCAGAGGATCCCGCCGCATCGCCGCATCGCCGATGCATCGGCGATGCGGCGCTATCCAGAGCACGGCTTTCTCGGTCCCGGCGACGCCGAAGCCACTCTGATGCATCGGCGATGCGGTGCGATGCCCCGACCCCTGCTGCTCTGGCCCCATCCGGGCGGCTCCCATGGAGCCTCGGGAGGAGCCGGGGGGCACAAGGACGGAAGCACATGGCAGGAGCAGACAGCCGCAGACCTCGGCACAAGGTGGTCGCAGCTCTAGCAGTGCCTGCACGTCGCTTGCGGTTTGAGTTCCCGATGTGTTCCGAGGCTGCCGCGCCTTTGCTGCACTCGGTTTGCCATCTCTCGGCGACTGCAAAGGATGTGGTTACGCCGGGGTGCAGTTTGCTATCGGCACGGTTGGTCGGGCGGGCGGTACATCCCCAGGACGAAAGGTTTTTCCCTCTTGGGCCTGGAACGACGGCCTGAAGTCTTGAACAGACGCGAATGAGATAACCGCCGTCGGATCCAAACAAATTCGCGCGGATCCAAGTTCGTTCTTTCGTTCGGTGAATCCGATTTCCAACCCGTTTAAACTTCACACGAATTATTAATTCGAAACGGACAACCAGACGAAATCGAATCGCGGTCCCCAGAACTCGTCCGTGGTAAGATTCTACGGTGCAGGGGGGTTCGAATATCAGTTTCCCAAGATGGGTTTTGCGCTGATTCTGCACGCAGTTTGTCCAGGCGCCGTCCGTTCGGCGGCGCCGATGTTATCTCGCGAACTCCTCATCGCAATTTACACCTCAAGAGGAAAATCTCTCGTCCTGCGTAAGTAATGGGGTGTGGCCCACATGGGGTGGTAAAGAAAAGGGCCTTTGGGAGGGGCCCTTGTCTTCACCATCCAATTCGGCCACCCCCCCAGTACCACCCGCCCGAGTTGGGGCCTGGGGAGCACGGCGCTGTCCTCGCCGGGCCTCCTCAGGGCTCGGCGGAGAGCTCTGTCGAGGTCTTCGCCGGCCCCCCATGGTGCCGATTACAAACCACACCCTTGGCACACCACACCCTCCGGAGTCGCCGAATCTCTCAGCCTCCAGGGGCCCCGGGGGACCCTGGAGACCACCTGGGGAAGGGGGGGGGAGCATGAGAAGGCAGAGGGGAAGGAGGAGAATGCTGCATCGTTTTGGCGTCGAGGTCAAAGAGGAGGAGACTGATGAGTGGGAAGAGCACGAGGAGCTGCCAGGGGCAACATCAGGGGGGGGGCGCATCGGCCCCCAATCGCCCACTGATTGCCGATAGGGCCCCGATAGCCCAACCCACCCAGGAAGGTTTGGATTCGCCTTCGAGGGCTCATCGCCGATCTATCGGCGACTGCCCTGATATTGTACGCCCGTTTTGAAGTGCAACATGCACCATGTTCAGAACGTCCGTGTTAACACGTTGCGTGTTGGCTCAACGTGTTTCCTCACAATTTGGCGAACCCACTGCGCCAAACGTACGCTTTCAATGTGCGTGTTGAGTTCCATGTCAACGCGCTACGGGTTGCGTGTTGCGCAGCGGGGCAGCCAAGTCTGTCGGCGACGTATCGCCGACTCGAGGTCAGAGCTCCCCCCCCGATCGATGACCCTCAAGCAGGACCGGGAGGGGGCCAGGGAGCAGCTGGGAGGCGGGCCCGAGGTCCTGGAGGCCAAGGCGCCCTCCCAGCCCGCGCCTCGGCCGACCCCGGTTCGCCGGCACGCCGGGCCCGTGCCGCCGATCGCCCGCGCACAGCCCAGATCCTCTCGGGTCAAAAGGAAGTCACGACGGGGGGTTGTCTGCTACAGGGTCGGCCTCCGGTGGCCCTTTCCACGTCTCGGGCCCGTCAAAGAACGATCCGGGATGAGAAAAACCCATCCCAGGGAGTGCGTCGAGACCTCTGGGAGTCGACGTTCTGGAAAAATCATGACGTCGGGGATCTGGGGATCCGACGCTACGCAAAACATACCGCATCGCGAAGATTCGCAAAGAAGAACCACCGGAGCCCCAGACCCCACCCTTTCGTGGAGCCTGTCAAGCCAGATGGACTTGTGAAGGTCCTGGGGCCCGAAGCCGGGCGACATCGCCCCGGGGGGGGGGGGGAATTGCAGCGCCGCCCAGGTCTCAGGGCAGCTACCCACCACCCACCGAACCACTTCAACCCAACCCGAAGGACCGCATTTGCCCTCCACTCACTGGGGGAGGGATGCGTCGGGGAGCATTGAAAAAAAAAACATGTGGAATCCGCCCCCCCCCCCCCCCCCCCCTCCAACAAAAAACCGTGAAATTTGGGTCTTCGGGCCAGGCCGGGGTGGTCTCGTGGGCAGGTCAGCTGCAGGGGGCGTTGCCGGTCGGGCGCGTGCCCGCGCCTCCCTGCGGGCCGCACTGGACGGCTCTCCCGCCCGCCGCCAGGCCCCGCCCTTCACCGATCGCGCGCGGCTCCGCTCGGCGGCGAGGGGTCCGCACGCCAGGTCGGTCGTAGAGGTTGCCCGGCGGAGAGTGTGGGGAGTGTCATGGAGTGCGGAGGGCGGCAGAGAGGAGAACGGCGGAGCAGTGAGGAGTGCCTCTGTTGCCATGTACCTGTTGTTTCCCCCGATCCTCTCTCCTGGGTCTTTTGCTCGGCCGTGTCCGATTCTCAACAGGTTCAGGGGCTACTGGCGTCGTTTGGGCTTCAAGATGCGAGCAGTTGAGACAGTGGTAGCAGCAGTTAGCCGCTAGATCGTGCCAAGTGTTTTAGCTCTGACAGGTATTCTAGTCCTCTTCGGGGCACCTCGATGAGCCAGATTTCGTCAGATCCAAAAGCTTGATCCGCCGGCTGTCCCCGGGGGGCCGCTGGCGCTGGGTTGGGCTAGGGACCTGGCTTCTGGCCTTCTCTGACGTTATCTCCTCGGGTCCCCTTCCTCGTCCCATCTCGTCCTCGCTCCGTCCTCGTCCTCCCGGGTCGGGTCCACTGCCCTTCCTGGTGTTTGGGACATGAGCTGGTTTCGGCGGCGCTGGTTTCGCCCCGCTGGCTTCGCCGACGGCTGGTTTCGCCGGTTTTGCCGGCGCTGGTTTCGCCCCGCTGGTTTCGCCCCGCTGCTTTCGCCGGCGGCTGGTTTCGCCGGCGCTGGTTTCGCCAGCGCTGATTTCTCCGACGCGAGCCTTACCGGGCGGGTCGGGTCTGGCGGGCGGACCCTGGCGGGCGGGTCAGGTCGGCCGGGCGGGCGGACCCTGACGGGCGGGTCGGGTCGGGCGGGCGGGACATTGAGTTGTGGAGCGCGCTCGACCGAGCACGCGCGAACCCGAACAGGCGGTCCGAGTCGGGCGGGCGGGACATTAAAGTATGGTGCGCGCTCGACCGAGCACGCGCGAGCCCTAACGGGCGGGTCGGGTCGGGCGGGCGGACCCTAGCGGGCGGGTCGGGTCGGGTCGGGCGGGTCCTAACGAGCGGGTCGGGTCGGGCGGGCGGGACATTAAAGTATAGGGCGCGCTCGACCGAGCAAGCGCGAACCCTATCGGGCGGGTCGGGTCGGGCGGGCGGACCCTAGCCGGCGGGTCGGGTCGGGCAGTTTCGCCGGCAGCTGGTTTCGCCGACGGCAGCTAGTTTCGCCGACGGCAGCTGGTTTCGTCGACGGCAGCTGGTTTCGCCGATGTCCCGCGCGGAACGTACATCCGTGTGACCGCGTACCTCTAGGCCTCCCAGGCGGGGTTCGAGCGGACGGGGTCGGTGGATCGCGCCGCACCGCCGATGCGTCGCCGATGCGGCTCGATGTGGAGCCCTATGCATCGTCGACATTACCGACGCATCCCCAATCCATCGGCGAAGTGGCGTTATCCTCCCGCCCCATCTGCTCGGACCCCATCTAGGAGGCCCCGAGTATCCGCGGGGTCGTGCCCCAGAATCCACACCGCGAGGGCGTGGATATGGATACAGTCAACCCGCATAGGAACGATGAGCGACTTTTCAAGATCACCCTTGCATCCTTCCCACATCGGCCCATCCTTGGCGCCGCTTTCGCTGGCCGCGCCCCGCTCGCAAAGTGTCGACGTGGCCTTCGGCCCCCGCATCCCCGTCGCGCGTCCTTACCATACGGGCAGGCTGTACGTTCGCCGCTCGTGACCCGCGGCCGTCGGCCGCCCCCAGCCGCCGAGGCCACGCCCTCTGGACGCCCGCGGCTACCCGCCGCGGCGCGCCCACGGCTCGGCGGTGGCGGCGCCCGTCGCGCCAGCGGCGCGCGCGCGCACCCTCCCCGGGGCGGCGCCGCCGCCGCCGTCGTTCAGCGGGTTTGTCTGGCATGTTCGGGCCCAGGCATCCGGCATCTCGAAAAATCGGCACGGAGGCTTTACACAGTTCTCAGCCTCTCGAGGCCCCTATACCAGGCCTCGGGACGGTAAAAAACGGCTCGGGATGAAAAACCAGTCTGGGGAAGTGGTCGAGAGGTCGGGGGCCCGTGCCTCGAAAGAATCCAGGCGTTGGATGTCGGGGAAGCGGGTTTTCCTGACGTTTTCGGATGTAGTTGGTTCCTGAAGGTTTGCCAGCCTCGGCATGAGTTCCAGGAGCTGCGCCTCGCCGAGATCGTTCCGCGGGTGCCCAGATCGTCCCGAACGGCCGCCGGACATTCGAGTTATAACCCGCCGTCGACGTCGTCGTTGACGTCCTTGTCGCTGTCGCCGTCGTCGTGATTAGGAGGAGGAAGGAGTAGCAACAGTGGCAGCAGCGGAGACGGAGGGGAAGGACGAGTCGAGGAAGGAGGAGGATGAAGCAAGCAAGGAGGAGGAGGGGTAGGAGAGGAGGAGGAGGAGGAGAAGGAGGAGGAGGAGGAGCAGCAGCAGCAACAGCAGCAGCAGCAGAAGAGGAGGCAGAGCAGGAAGAGAAGATCAGCAGCACGAGGAGGAGAAGGAGGGAGGAGCAGGGGTGGCATCGCCCTTGATTTTGGTACGCATGCCGCCAGGTCCCAGGTCCGAGAAGGAGGAGAGTTTGGAGGATGTGGAGGAGCATGCAGAGGAGGCGCAGGATGATGACTAGAGAGAGAAGGAACAACGATGAGGAGGGGCAGGAGGTGGAAGAAGAAGAAGAAGAAGAAGTGGCCGGATCACGTTGGCCGCTTCTCTCTCCTGCATCTTGGGCAGCCTCCCCCTGGTCCTCCTCCAATCCATATTCTTTACGAGTGTACAGTCTGGCTCTGCCCGATGGCAATCCGATCCGGGCCGCTCCATCCTCCCCATACAAACCAAGCGAAGTCGACGTGTTCCCTCTCAACATGGACGGGGCGGGCGCATCACGTGCGTGAGGGCGAAATGCCGATCTCGCCTGGGCGCCGCGCAAATCTCGCCTGAAAGTGGCGGCCTCGCTTGGACACAGTGCATAATTTGTCACTCGCCAAGTCGCTTCGGCCCAGCCGCACGCGAGCGAGCGACTTGTCGCCCTCGCCCAAGACTTCATTTGAAAGCGGCGTTCCCGCTATGGCTCGGCGCACGTGTTTCGGGCGCCGAGTCGTGCCAAATTGGCAGCGGCAGCGGGGCCGCGCGCGAGAGCGGACGAACGAATTATTGTTCTCGTCCATGTGGTTCGCAGGCTTTGCGTGAGAGTGGCAGTGCTGTTTCGGCGCGGCGCACGCTTAGGTGTCATACATCGTGAGGCCGCCCCCAGCGTGATCAAATTGTTGAATCGGTACTACGCTCGATCTACATGAATGTCGCCTCTTGTCTGAACTTGATTCAGAAAGCGCCTCGGCCTCCATCAATGTTGGTGGAGTATGCTGGAGTGCGGTTGCCAAAGTATTCAAAGCGTGAATGGAGTCTCGAGTCGGAGCGCACAACAAGCCGCCGTCCACCCGAGGAATTGTCGTTGATTCCCAGCTGCAGGGCCACAGAATCTGAGCAAACACGCTGCGAGAGTGCGAAATTTGACACGACACGCTTAACATCCGTTTGGAACAAGTTATCTGCGCGGGAGGCTCAAACGAAACGCGCTCCTGGCAAAGCGGGGTCGGTTGCGCCCGTAAGCGCCCTCCTCTCCACGCGGTGTGCCACGCTGGCGACCCGCCTAAGCCAATGCGTAAGGTCGCTATGTCATCTTGCGTACATAAGAGCCTTTCCGTCTCCGCCGCGAAAGAGGAGGGGGTTGGGGGCGTCGCAGCTTCCCAGAAGGGGTACAAGGTCGAGAGCTCCAGAGCCCGTCGCGCGTCCTTCGCGTGAGGTGTCTCTCGCGCGCCCGCCCCGCGAGATCCCTGACGCCATGATCTGATCACGACGTCGACCCCCAGAGCTCTCGGCCCACTCTCCAGGACCAGCTTTCCTCCCCGAGTCGTTGTTTGGCGGACTTCGAGGCCTGGTAATCGGCGGCGAGCGAGGGGGGGAAGCGAGAAGGGGCTGGCCTTCTCAGAAGGCTCGACAGTCCCCCGGCCTTCTGAGAAGTTTTCTAAGCTTTCCCCGAAGACACAAACAAAGAGCCTCTGAGAAGGCCTTCTCCCCTTCCTCGTTGCTGCCCCTCGCTTGCCGCCGAGGTACGGGCCCCCAGAGGCTGGAGGGGGTCTGGGTCGCTCACCCCCTGGCGCGTTGGGGGTGCTGGCCCTGTGGCACCGCGGCGCCCCCCTCCACGAGGGGGACACAGTCGAGGCGCTGAGGCAAGGAACTGTTTGGGTTCGGAAGGGGCCGGATGCTCCTGAGGTCCTTCCATGGCTGTTCCTCCAGCCCTCCTCGTGAACGAAGGCGGCTTTGGGGCCTAAAAGGGGCTTCGTTCCCTACTTCGCGTTCCTCGTTCCAGCGGCCCGACTGCAGCCGACTGGGCGACGCGCGAAAGGGAGCCAGCTGCGCCGACATTCTCGCGCAAGCTGCCCCCGCAGGGTCGACGGAAAAGTCTGCAGAGACATCATCTCTCGGACTTCCGCGCGGATTTCTTGCTTCGGCGCCAGGGCCCCTTCTAGCAGCGCCTCCGGCGCAGCCCCTTGGTGCGCCCCGCGCGGCAGAGAGGGGGGGGCCCAGCGCAGATCCAGGACATCCGCGCGGCGCTCCGAGAAATCATGGTTGTGTCGCGGTCTGACCCTCTGGCAAGGCCGCGCGCAGGCATCTCCTCGTGCGCGGAGCCTGCCGCGTCGGCGGCCTGCGTCAGCCACCGCGCGAGGTCGTTGCGTCCTCGGGCGAGGCACCCGTGCCTTGCCCGCGCCCACCGTCAAGACGCTGAGAGAAGGACCGCTTGGGGCTCGGGAGGGGCTCGGGTGTTCGGGCCGTGCCTCAGATTTGTGTCGTGGAACCTGCTTGTGGCCCAGGTCCGCCGTGGCCAGGAAAGCGCCCTCGTTCCTTGTGCAGCGTGCCTTGTGGCAACACGAGGATTGCACTTGCCATGGCCAAAGAGGCTTGGGGCGTCGCAGCTCATCCACCGCCAGAACAGCAATGTCCATCTCCACCGCCTCGGAGTCTTGCCCCAGGATCTCGCGGAACTCTCGGGATGTAGTCGGCATGGACATCTGCGCGCCCCTGAGGGTGGGAAGCTGAGCATGCGAATCCACGCCATGACCCCCCATCTGGATCCAGGACAGGACTCCGTCAGTTGTGAGCCCTGATATCCGCCGATCTGAGTTGTTGAATCCGCAGCAGTTTTTCCCCAGGGATCCTTTCTTGATGGTCCCGAAAATCATACCGTCGGAGGTATGAGAATGTGGATGCCGTCTGGCGGTGCAGCCCAGTGCCCTGGTGCTTACCCCACGACATGCAGTCAGGACGTTGTTATAGATACCAGTTCCGGGTCCGGAGGGGCTCTGGTTGTCAGCCCGCTCCTTAGATCTAGGCCGGGGAACCTATTCGAAACCAATGCTCGCCGTGGCCAGAAGAGCCCCTCGGTTCCTCATTATGCGCTCCTTGCGGCAGCCGATGACTGTAGCGGCAGCAACGGCACTCGCCCCATCCCACCGTTGTCCCTCTGTTGATGATGGTCATTGTTTTGGTCTTCCACTCCTTCCTTTGCCTTTTGTCGTCCCATCTCCTTCCCATCGTCATTCTCTCCTGCGTATCGCTCCCTCCCCCCCAGTGCTACATGCTGTCTAGTCAATCGCTTCGCTCACTCCGCTGGCCCACTCTGTATGTTGCATGTAGTGTTTGGTACATAGCTTTCGACCAGACTGGGTCGTGGACAAGAGGCATTACTGGGAGGCTTGCTGGGGTCTCTTGGGAGGCCTCTCTCGGGGCCTCGTGGCGGCATCTGGGGGCCTCTCAGGGGGCCTCTCGGGGGCCCATCGGGGGCTCGTTGCCCCTTGCTCCCCTGCGCTCCTTCTGGCAGCACGATGGCTGCACAGAAAAGCAGGACGATGGCTGCACGCTTCGCGGGCCGGCCGCGTATGGGCGCTCCCCGCGCGCGGCCGCGCCAGGCCGGCCCAGAGCCCGAGGCGGACCCGCTGCCGCGCACGCCCTCGCCGTCCAGGACGGGCCGCAACGGTGCGCCTGCAAAGCGGACGACGACAGCGAGAACGACGAGGACGAGGACAAGGACGAGCACGACGACGACGACGACGAGGACGAGGACGAGGACGAGCACGACGACGAGGTCGACGAAAACGACGACGAGGACGACGACGAGGACGACGACGATGATGAGAACGACAACGACGACGACGAGGCCGACGACGAAGACGATGATGACGACGACGACGACGACGAGGACGAGGACGAGCACGACGACGACGACAGCGAGGACGAGGACGACAACGACGACGAGGACGAGGACGAGGACGAGGACGAGCACGAGGACGACGACGAGGACGAGCACGAGGACGAGGACGAGGACGAGCACGACGACGAGGTCGACGAGAACGACGACGAGGATGACGACGAGGACGACGACGAGGACGGCGACGAGGACGAGAAAGACAACGACGACGAGGACGACGACGACGACGACCGGGCCGACGACGATGACGACGGCGACGGCCACGGGCACGACAACGACCACAACGACGACGACGACGAGGACGACGACGATTAAGACGAGGACGACGACGACGAGGACGACGAGGACGACGGCGAGAACGACGAGAACGACGAGGGCGACGACGACGACGAGGACGAGCACGAGCACGACGACGAGGACGACAAGAAGAACGATGACGAGGACGACGACGAGGACGAGAACGACAACGACGACGACGTCGAAGACGACGACGACGGCAAGGATCAGGAGGCCGACGACGACGACGACAGCGAGGACGATAACGACGACGACGACGACGACGACGACGACGGCGACGAGAATGACAACGACGACGACGACGAGGACGACGAGAACGACGACGAGGAGGACGACGACGATGAGAACGACGAGAATGACGACGACAAAGACGACGACGACGAGGACGAGGACGAAGGCGAGAACGACGAGGACGACGACGACAACGACGACGAGGTCGACGAGCATGAGGACAGCTTCGACGAGAATGACGACGACGAGAACGACGACGAAGCCGACAACGAGGACGAGAAAAGCAGCGACGACGACGACGGCGACGACAACAACGACAACGACGACGACGATGGCGACGAGAGCGACGACGACGACGAGGACGACAAGAATGACGACGAGGACGAGGACGACGATGAGAACGACGAGAACGAGAGCGACGAGGAGAACGACGACAACGGCGTCGACGAGGACGAGAACGAGGACGACGACGAGGACGAGGTCGACGAGAACGACGCCGACGACGAGGACGACGACGATGACGACGACGAGGACGAGAACGACGACGAGGACGACGTCAACGACGACGACGACGACAACGGCGACGAAAACGACAACGACGACGAGGACGAGGACGACGAGAACGGCGATGAGAACGACGAGGCCGGCGAAGACGAAGACGACGACGACGTGGACGAGGACGACGTCAAGAACGACGAGAACGACGACGACGACGTGGACGAGCACGACGACGAGGTCGACGAGAACGACGACAACGAGGACGCCGACGAGGATGGGAACGTCAACGACGACGACGACGACGACAACGAAGACGAGGACGACGACAACGACGACGACGACGATGACGACGACGACGACGACAGTGAGAACGACAACGACGACGACGAGTTAGACGAGGACGACGATGAGAACGACGAGAACGACGACGATTACGACGATGAAAACAACGATGACGACGACAAGGACGACGACGAGGACGACGAGTGCGGTGACGAGACTGACGACGACGGCGACGAGAACGGCGACGACGACGACGACGCCGACGTGGACGACGACAACGACGGCGACGAGAACGACGACGACGATGACGACGAAGACGTGGACGAAGACGAGGACGAGGACGAGGACGACGAGAACGACGACGACGACGACGAGGACGACGAGAACGACGACGACGACGACGACGATAAAGATGACGAGGACGACGAGAACGACGACAACGACAACGACGAGAACGAGGACGACGACGAGGATGACGAGAATCACGACGACGAGGACGACGCCTACGACGTGGACGATGGCAACGTTTACCACGAGAGCGACGACGACGAGGACGACGACAACGACGCGGACGGGGACGAGGGCGACGACGACGACTACAACGAGGACGACGACGAGGACGACGACGACGAAGACAGTATTCGACGACGACAAATGACCAGGATGACGACGGCGAGAACGGCGACGATGACAACAAGGTCGTCGAGACCGACGAGAAGAACGCCGATGAAATCAACCAGAGCGACGAGAAAAACGACGACGACGGAGACATCATGGACGACGACGACGACAAGGCCGTGGACGACGAGGACGACGATGACGAGGACGACGACGAGAAGGACGAGACCGACGACGACGAGGACGACAAAGACGAGGACGACAAGAACGACGACGACGAGGACGACGACGACAACAACGACAACATGGGCGACGACAACGAGGACGAAGGCCAGAACGACGAGATCGACTACGAGGACGACGACGACGACGATAACGACGACGGTGGTGACGACAGCGACGACGATGACGACGAGGACGACGACGAGAGCGACGACGACGACGAGACAAGGACGAGGACGACGACGAGAACGACGACGACGAGGATGAGGACAACAAGGACGACGGCGACGACGATGACGACGAGACCGACCACGAGACCGCCGAGAACGACGATGAGGAGGACGAGGACGAGGACGACGACGACGAGAACGACGAGAACGACGACGACGAGGACGAGGACGAGGACGACGACGACGAGAACAACGATGCTGACGACCAGGACGACGACGACCAGGACGACGACGACGAGGAGGACGACGACGACGACGTCGAGAAGGACAACGACGACGAGGACGACGAGAACGACGACGACGACGACGACGAGAATTTCGAGAGCGACGACGACGACGACGACATCGAGGACGACGACTACGACGAGGACGAGGACGACGACGACGAGGACGGGGACAACGACGTGGACCAGGACGACGACGAGGACGACGACGACGACGACGATAACGTCGACGACGACGACAAGGCCGGCGACGACGATAACAACGACGACTACGACGACGACGGCGGCGGCGACGACCACTAGGACGACGACGACGACCAGGACGAGGACGACGACGAGATCGACCACGACGACGAGCGCGACGACGACGAGGACGACGGTGAGGACGACGAGAACAACGACGACGACGACGACGAGAACGCCGAGGAGGACTGCGACGAGAACGGCGACGACAACGAGGACGGCGAGAACGACGAAAACGACGAGAACGACGACGACGGGACCGACGACGACCAGGACGACAACGTGGACGACGACGACGACGGCGACGAGATCGACAGTGACGACGACGACGAGGAGGACGATGGCTCAGACGACGACGGCGACTAGGACAACGACGAGGACGAAGGCGACGACGATAACGAGAACGACGAGAGGACGGGGACGACCACGAGGACGAGGAGAACGACGACGACGACGACGACGGCGACGACCACGAGGACGAAGACCACAACGACGAAGACGACGACGAGGACGACGAGGACGACGACGACGAGAAGACCGACGACGACGACGAGAACTACGACGACAACGACGAGGACGACGACAAGGACGTGGACGACAACGACGAGGACGACGACTAGACCGATGATGACGACGACGAGGGCGACGACGCCAAGGACGACGAAGACGACGACGAGGAAGACGACGACAACGACGATGGCGGCGATCACGACGACGAAGAGAGCAAGAACGAGGACCACGAGAATGACGACGACTACGACAACGACGACGAGGACCACGACGACGACGACGTTGACGAAGACGAGAACGAGGACGACGACGAGGACGACGACGACAATAACGACAACGACGACGACGGGAATGACGAGAGCGACGACGACGAGGACAACGGCGACGACGATGGCGAGGACGACAACGACGACGACAACGAGAATGAAGGCCAGAACGACTAGGACGACGACCACGAGGACGGTAACGACGACGACGACGACGAGGACGACGACGAGAACAACGACGACTACGACGACGACGGCGACGACCACTAGGACGACGACGACGAGGACGAGGACGACGACGACGAGAGCGACTACGACGACGAGGACGTCAACGAGGTCGACGGCGACGATGATGACGACGACGACGTCGACGACGACAGCGAGGACGACGAGAACGACGGGAACAACGACGACGATGACGACGAGGATGACGACAACGGCGATAAAGACGACGAGAATGACGACGACGACGACCAGGACGACGACGACGACGACGAGGACGACGAGAATGACGGCGACGACGACGAGGACGACAACGAGGTCGACGACGACGACGATGACAACGAGGACGACGATGTTGATGATGACGACGACGACGACGAGGACGACGAAGACGACAACGACGAGGACGACGACGACAACGAGGACGACGATGACCACGACGACGACGACGCTGGCGAGGACGATGACGATGACGATGACGACGAGAACGACGACGACGACGTCGACGACGACGACGATGACGACGACGACGATGACGACGACGACGACGACGAGAACGACGACCAAGACGACGACAAAGAGGACGAAAAGTACCATGAGGACGTCGAGGACGACGACGACGACGAGGACGACGACGACGGCGAGGACGACGACGACGACGCCGACGACGACGACGACGACAATGAGGACGAGAATTTCCATGAGTACGACGAGGACGACGACGACAACGACGTGGACGACGACGACGAGGACTACGACGACTACGACGACGACGACGACGTCGTCGACGACGACGACGATCCTCCCCCTAAATGTCGGCTCCAGACTTCTCCTGGGGTGCATTCTAGCAAAGCGCGCAGACAGCGCGCTCAGGTAGTCCCAGTTGGCCTCAAGAGGCCCCCCGAGTAGTCCAGGATCTAGGGCAGTCTCAGCACCCCCACCCTAGGGCGCGGAGCGCCCCAGGGGCGCCGCCGGAGGTGGCGCCAGGGTGTTGAGACCGCCCTGGGCTACTCGGGTGGCTGCCGAGGCCAGCTGAGACTATCTGGGGGGGCCTACTGAGGCCAGCCAGGACTACCTGAGAGGGCTGTCTGCGCGCAGGCTGAAGCCTTACCGCCCTATCCCCCTTCCCCAGGCATCGACAACTTCCCTAGAGCAAGTTTTCCGTCCTCTGTTCGTTTTTGACGGTCCCAGGGCCTTGCGAGGGCCCCTGCAGGCCGAAAACGGATAAGAATTGTCCGCTCAAATTTCTGTCGGAGCCGCAGATCTCTGGGTCGCCCCCCCCCCCGCTGAGGACTCCGTCCCCGGAGCGCGCACCGGTGGAGGACGGCGTTGGCCACCAGCGCACCGGGGGGCAGCGCCAATCCCGCCTGCGGCAGCCGATGCCGGTCGGGCCTGCGGCGTCGGCGTCCTCTGAGATCCTGGCGCCGCTCGCCTCCCGAGACATCCGGCGCCTCGAACGACTCGGAAGAGAGCCTTTTCATAGTTTTTGACCTCTTGGCCCTTACAGGGCCTCGGGGCCGTCAAAAAACGGTCGGGCCTGAGAAATGGTTGAGAGGTCAGGGGCCCGTGTCTCGAGAAAGTCTGGACGCGGGATGTCTGGCTCTGGGATATTGGCGTCGCGGTTCTTGCGCACCGGGCGCTTTCGCCCAGATTCGGACCCCGGGACCCCCGCAGGTCGATCTTGCTTGAGAGATGCCACAGGAAGAGGGGGGTCCTAGGGTCTAGGCCTCAGGCCTTTCGAACAGATCCTGATGTCAGGGACCTTATCGCCCAGATTCGGGCCCCAGGGCCCTCCCAGATCGACCCGGCTGGAGAGACGCCACATAACGAGGGGGGTCTGGGGCTCAGACGTTTCAAACATTGATTCCGAGGTCGGGGCTTGTGTCGCCCAGATTCGGGCCCCGGGGCCGTCTCATACCGATCCGGCCGGAGAGACGCCACAGAAAGGGGTGGTTCTAGGGCTCAAACGTTTCGAACATGTTTTTTGGCGTCGGGGCCTGCATCGCCCAGATTCGGGCCCAGTCCTCTCAGATCGATCCAGCTGGAGAGATGCCACAGGAAGAGATGTGTCTGGGTTCAGACGTTTCGAAAACATATCTCGACGTCGGGGTCTGTATCAAGGGAGTTCGCGACGGTGCGAGGTGCGCAACATTGTCGAGAGCGTCGAGGGACAAGGGCACGTGGATCAGGAGGGGAATCCAGCAGGGCAACTGGAGCTGGATCCGCGATGTATGAGCATCATGCGTTCGTTTTGCTGTTGGGCGCCTGCGTGGGCAACGCACTGCCGTGCACCCAGCCCAGCTTGAGGTCGTTGCAGCCGACAGCTTCCAGCGCCCCGACATCGTGGTCGGCCCGCAGGTGGCGTCGTCGAAGCAGCCTGCCAGAGGCGGGGCGGGCGGAGGGGGGGAGGAGGGGGGGGCAGTTGGGGAGCACCCCCCGGGGGAAGTCGAGTCGTGCAAACGCGAAATGGGCATGGCACGCACTGGGGCCCCACATTCTTCTCGAGTGCAGCTGAGTGAAAGCTGGCTTACCCGCGCCCATTATTGAAATTGCGGTGGAGCGCTGGGGAAAACACGTTCTGTTTCAGGGGCCAGATAATGGTATCAACGCAGCGAGGCAACGTTCGCGTGCTGACAACGCGTTGCATGTTTCTGCACTGCCGAAAATCACACTTCCATAACTCGCAGGGCGTCGCTTTGACTTGTTGTCACTTCGCAGCAGATCGTTGCGCACCTGCCTGTTTCTGATCTGCGCCCCACTCCAGCCAACCACACCCCCTCCCGCCCGCTGCCACCCTCCCGCAGTCCCTCTCCCGACAACAGGCCGCCGTTCGTCCTGGTTGGCGGTGTTAGCCGCCGTGTTTGCCGCCGCCGTCGCTGTCGGCCTTCTGAGAAGGCCAGGGGCCTTCTCTGGAAGTCTTCCAAGAAGCAGCCGAGCCCTTCTACCGCGGATAGCCTGAACCTGCTGCTCTGGATGCATTCGTCTCTGGAGCGGAGAAGCGGTCCAAGCTAGCGCCGCGCGGAGATATTGTCAGGCCACGGGGGCTGGCATCCTGAGCAGCACAAGAGCATGTGGCATGCGATGTGATATGGCACGCCGTTGGCCCGCTCAGCCGCCGCACGTCGCTGCGCCCTTCGCTCGGAAACGAGATATTCGGCCACCCATGAATCTCCAGGGTCGTCTGTTCTAGTACCTGGGATCTCGCCTGGGTAGCCCAAGTGACGTCTCATTGTTTATTTACCGAGGCTGTGACAGGGGACTCTACTGCCGATGTCTGCTCAATCTAGGGAGGCTGGATTGCGAAGGCCACAGAGTTCTTCCACGTCGGGGGCGATCTGTTTGACACCGCCCCAGTGTCACTCTACACCCAGGAAGCACCAATGTACCACTGGATGTTGGAAGGCAGAAGCGGTCACAATGAGTAGTCAACGACGCGTACGCCTGGGCGCTGCTTCTTTACGCAGGACCTTGCAGGATCTGGCAGTATCTTGCAAAGCCTGAATGACCCAAGCTTGCATTGACACGGGCCAGTAGATCCGTCTCAGGCGAAACAGTTGCCGGCACCCGGCGGTCTTCGGGCTCCCCGCGCTCCCTGTGGGAGTCTGCGGTCCTTTTGGACCACTGTTAGAACCCTTTAGCGAAACGCGACTCCCAATCATCCGGCGTCTCGAGATGTTTCGAGACACGGGCCCCCGACCTCTCGACCACTTCCTTGGGACTGGCAATTCATCCCGAGCCTTTGTTTGAGGGTCCTGAGGCCCGGCAAGTAGGCCCAGAGAGGCCGAAAGCGACGAAAAATCTCCGTGCCGATTTTTTCGAGGCGCCCGACGTCCAGGCGAGGGAAGAACAAAAAGCACACAGCACAGACAAAACAAGACTAAACGAAACGCCTCCCCGGCGGGCCCTCTCCGAGGCGGCGCCCTAGACTCCGAGATCCTCGCCGCAGGGGCGGCGGCGGCGGAGCGGCTGGTGGCGGCGGCGGACTCCGGCGAGGCCAGGGCCTCGGCCTCCTGCGTGTTTTATTCCGCGCCTTCCTCCCTCCCCTACCTCCTCCTCCTCCTACTCCTCCTCATCCCCCTCCTCCTCCTCCTCCTCCTCATCTTCCTCCTTCTCCTCCTCCTCCTCCTCCTCCTCCTCCTCCTCCCTCCTCCTCCTCCTCCTCCTCCTCCTCCTCCTCCTCCTCCTCCTCCTCCTCCTCCCCCCCCCTCCTCCTCCCCCCCCTCCTCCTCCTCCTCCTCCTCCTGCTCCTCCTCCTCCTCCTCGCCCTTCGCCGTAGCCGTTCTGGCTCAAAATGATGGAAACCTGGGGGGCTCATGCGGAACACATTGATCCGAGGCAGTCTCTCACTCCATTCGGCCTTGTCCGCCCCAGGTCTGGATCCTCCCGCCAGAGTGGGAGGACGCGTTTCCCGAGCCAGCAGCAGCAGGAGGCAGATTGTCGATGGGAGGCAATGGCCGAGCACGCGACGGGCGAGGAGCCAGCAGGCCAAGGTCGGCCAAACGAGAGACGGAGTACACCAAATGCACCGTCTGCAGCTATCCGTGGACGTTCTCTTCCAAGGGCGAGTGCTGGCGTTGCGGGCATACCCTCGCGCCAAGGGTGCGGGGACCATGGCAGGATGACGGAGACGCAGCGAGGGCGACCTGGAGGCAGCAGCCACCATGTGTTGGACAGCCCCAAAGCGGCAGCGTGTCACGGGAGCGCAGCGTCAGCCTGGCCCTGTCCGACGGCTCCGTGGTGCGCCCCAAGAAGGACGTCAAGACCTTGCTCCAGCAGCTGGCCGCCACGGTGTCGCCCGAGCGGCGGACAGCGGTCCAGGAGCTCGGAGCTCACTTCACCCCCACGCCGACGAGGCAGAAGCAGCAACACCAACACCAGCTCCTTGAGCAGGAGGTGTCAGCGGCGTGTGCACGGCTTCGGAGGGCAGAGCACAGCAGTCGAGAAGGTGGTCGAAGCTGAGGTGTGGCTGGCCGATTCCCACGCCACATGCGACAAGGCAGCGTGCGAGGTCGAGGCGGCCAAGTCCGCGCCCCCCGCTGCCATGAAGACTGCGCGAGCCAAGGCGGGCCCGCTGCAGGAGGACAAGGACAGCGGCACCTCCACGCCAAAGCAGTCCAAGCCAGTGGTTGGCATCGACCTGTCCAAGCCTCGGAAGGAAGAGCTGCCCTACCTACTCGACGGGAATATGTTCGAGATGGACGACCTCGAAGGGGACAACAGCGAGCGCGAGGCATACCAGAACCTCGAGACCCAGCTGCACCACAAGCCCAACGCCGCGGTGCAGACCCTCTTCGGCGCGGGTGCGCAGGCGCTGGACGGCAAACGGGCAGGAAATGCAGCTCATGCGCGCGACTGCCTCGCCACAAAGAGAAGGAGACGCTCGCCACCGTCATCGGGCAAACGAGGCGCCACAGACGTTCGCGACGGAGCGGCAGTCCCAGCTCTGAGCGACAACGACAAGGGCAACGTCGAGGCACGCGCCGACAAAGGGGGCTCCAAGGGGAAGCCGACAGCGCCAGCTGCGTCCGCGGGGCCGAGCAAGGGCCAGGAGAAGCCTGCTGTGCCCGCTGCTACTCCTGCCGACGGTGCTCAGGGGCGCAGCCCCGGCAGCAAGGACTTGCTAGACGCGGCCACTGCCAAGGAACGCATCCGACAACAACTATCGGCATGGCCCTGGGAGCCACCGCCATGGCAGCTCAACCCACCGCGGCACATGCGCCTTGTGGTCAGCCTTGCCCATGGTCGTCTTCGCGGAACAGCGGCAGTGGTGACGTGCCAAGGTCCGACCAGGTAACCACCATCGACGATTGGCCAATTTCAGCAAGGGGGACAATTAGGAGAACGAGACGAAAAACCAGGAATGTGACGAAACACATGTCCGATGGGTACCCCCTTCCTCCTTAGGACCGACCTGACTGACCCCGTCGAGCCCGCAGAAGGGTTGCCAGGTCACCCACGACGTGGGCCAGGAGCTGGCTGGCGAAACCCAGGATCCTCGCGTCCACCCGCGGGGGCTGGGATGACGCCGACTGGCGGAGGTGGCGTGCCCCCCGCGTGCTCCATTGCATCGTACGCTTGGACATGTCCGGCGCCCTCTTTCGAGTCGGGAACGGATTGGAAGACTCCAGCTGGCGCGGGACGCGCGCGAGCAGGCGCGGCGCGCTGGCGCCAGCGCCGCAGACGCCTGGGCATCGCATACAGGTGCTCGCAAGAGCGGACATGGAGATATTCGAAGCCGCGCGACGCGACCACATTGACGAGAAGTTGGCGAGGAGGCGCTGGCTCGACGAGAGGTCGTCGTAGCCCCCAACCGCGCGGAAGTTACGACCGATGCGCCGCTGCTCGAGCTCAACCCGCCCAACGGGAGCCCCGCCCTAGCGATCGAGATGCAAGTGCCAAGGCGGTCCAGGAGATGGATCCAGGACATCGATCTCGGCGAGGAGTCCGATTCGGAGGACGAGTGGAGCCGGTGGCGCGAGCCCCGCGTCGCCGAGCTGCAAAAGGACGCGAGGTTCGACCACGTTCGCGCAGCGACGAGGCCAACGACGGAGCAGCTGGCGGCGGATGCATGCGCCCGAGAATGGAGGGGGGGAATATGCCCAACAGCGTTTCCGTCGATGGAGACGGCCATGCAAAGGGCATGATGTTTTTTAGTAGGCAAGGGTGGTTGGCCTGCGCGCAGCGAACACTATGAGGACCCCCGCGGCATCCTTGTCTACAACCGATGCCAAGTGGTCGCGGGGCGCCCGCGCATGCGCCAGATTCGGATCGATCTGGAGGCTAAGCGTATGCTGTATCGTTGTTTGACAAGGATGGGGGGCAGGCATGGTTCGGGTTGGCTGCTGGTCTTGTGGGGGAGGGAGTGTTTATTAATAGGGAACAGTGATAAACCCTTACCGGAACGGACAGAGAGAAGATGGAAGAGAAAACCCACCAAACCACTCACGCCCAGAGGGCTGGTCACGCCCAGAGGGCTGGTTGGACTACCGCCGAGGTCAGTCGACCCTTTCTGTCTTCGTCCCCCCTCTTGCCGCTCTCTCTCCCGTTCATCCTCCTCCCCCTCCTCTCCCTCGCCCTCCTATCTCCTCCCTCCTGTATCCTCCCCACTCCCTCCCCGCAGATGGGTCGAAGTGGGGACGGAAAGAGCGGGGACGGAGACCGACAGTCTTTGCCAATTCTCTGCAGGAATCGTTGTTGGTACCGCTGCGGACATCGCATTGTCTTCATTTGGGCCGCCCCTGTTCCGGGCGTCCAGATCCTCCCCTCCTCCTCCTCTTCCTCCACCACCTCCTCCTCCTCCTCCCCCCCCTCCTCCTCCTCCCTCCTCCTCCCTCCTCCTCCTCCTCCTCCTCCTCCTCCCCCTCCTCCCCCCCATGCTCCTCCTCCTCCTCCTCCTCCTCCTCCTCCTCCTCCTCCTGCCTCTCCTCCTCCTCCTCCTCCTGTTCCTGTTCGCCTGTTCGCTGTGGGCATTGGTGCCTGTGGTTGGCGTTGCCCTGTTCTTCCCCAGCGGCCATCTGCCGCCAGGGAGGGTGGTCAACCGAGCAATCGATCATCACAAGAGACCTTTTTAAACATCTCCTGGCGATAACGGGAGTGACCAAGCGGGAGGAGGGGGTAGAAGGGGCCGGTCACGGCACGATTTGCGCTGGCGTCGTCTGGGATTGCTTACGGATGGTCAGTTCCCAGACGGCGCCGGCGCGAATCGTGACGTCACCACGGTGAGGGGGGGAGGGGGCCGGGGTGGGTCACGTTCGCTATCGCCAAGAATGCTTCCGGGTGTTAATATATATATATATATATATACATACATACATACATACATATACATATACATATATATGTATTAAACATGCTCTTGTAACAAGAACAAGCTAAAGTGTTAACAATAGCAAAAACGCACAACAGAAAACAACAAAAAAACGAGGTTTCAAATGAAACAAGCATAAAACACAATCAAAACAACGGATTCCAAGATATCGTTGGGTTCCTCCTCCCATTACTATTGCAGGCGGCAGGGCCGCTCCGCGCGGCCCCGCCCCGCCTCGCCCAGTGCCGCAGCACGGGGGCGGGCGACCACAAACGCTCGCGTGCGGAGTGCGAGGGCGGAGTACGGAGGCGGACGGCTCTGGCGGGGCCGGTCGCCGAGGGGCGCCTTCTGGGTCGGGGCTCAAGATCGATGGTCTTCAGAACGTGTGTTAGCGCCAACGTGTTCGCTCACTGAGGCCCTTCACTACGACAAAGGCGATGTGATGATCGACTGGTTGGGTTGAACGGGGTAAATACACATTGGGCTAACACACGTCCTGAGGATCATCGACAAGAGGCGGGGGTCGATGCAAACGGGGGTTAGCCAGAGCGCAGGATCCTGCAGGATCCTGAAGAGGGGTGCACTGACCCGGGCTTGGGTGCAGTATCTTGCAGGATCTTGCAGGATTCCTGCAAGGCCCGACTGACCCTGGTCTGGATTGACCCGGGTCAGTGGATCTTCGATCTGGGGGTCAGCGGCGCGGTGCGCCCCCCCCACAGGCCCGCGCCGAGGCACGGGCGCCGAGCGTGTCCACATCCACGCCCTCGCGGTTTGGACCTCTCTAGACCCGGCGCCACGAACAAAATCGAGATGGAGGCTTCTCATCTTTTTCGGCCTCACGGGGCCCTCGCTGGGCCCTGGGACCGTCAGAGAACGTCTCGGGGTGAAAGACCAGCCCCGGGGAAGTGGTCGAATGGTCTCGACTGCACGTAGGAGTGGACCCTTCGCCGGATTGACCTTGAGTGCGGGCCCACTGTGGTCCGCCAACCGCCGAACGCGGTGCGATGGCAGCCTCTTGCACGCTCGTGTTCGGTCCCCCAACAAAAAAAGCCGCGCGCCAGAGGTCACTCTTGCCCAACGGGTTTCTCCTTGCGTGTGGCCGAAGGTCGGGGGCCTGCGTGTCGAAGAAGTCGGGACGCCGGCTGGCTGGGGGCGGCGGGAAGCGACGAAGCGGGGCCCCCACGGGGCGAAAACGACGGAGCTGGGGAGCAGGGGCCAGGCCAAGCCACGGAAGCCCCTGAATGCCCCCCGTGGAGGGCAGGCAAGGGGGGACGATGGAAGGGGGGCGAGGAAGGGAGGGGGCGAAGAGTGGGGGGGGCGAGGAAGGGGGGCGAGGAAGGGGGGGGGAGGGAGAAGACAGAGAGAGGGAGCACAAGGGAGGGTGGGAATTACAGGAAGCCCCTGGCGGAGATGTTGGCTTTCGTCGTGGCGCGTCTGCATGTTATATCCTCACGTTCTCACCCTGCCTGGCGCCCCTCCCGCTTAGCACCGTAATCCGCTGAAGCCGTCTATCGGCTGGCCACTTAGCACTGCCCAATGCTAGCTGCACTAACAAGATGCGATAAAGACCATTGAAGGTCCAGGGCAAACACAGCAGCTGGTTTCACGCACACACACACAAACACATAAGCACCCACTTGTTCTTCCAGCGCGAAGGGGCAAGTTCAAGCAAGACGGGTCGCAGTTTCAAAGGTAATGAGCCACATTGCGTGGCAGCGTAAACGAGGCAGAAATCCCCAGTGGAACGCACATAGCCGACAGCTGAGCCGCCAATATCAGGCGCTTATAGGACAGGACGGCGTGACCATAAACGAGAACGCCAGGCCAGGGAGGGAGAGTGGCGGAGGCAAGCGAGGACCGCTGGGAAACGCACAAACACACGCACGGTTCTCTTCTGGCGCTCTGGTGAGTTGCAGTCGGCGGGTAAAGTAGCACAGCCAAGACGCTGAAAGAAGGACTACTCTGGGCTCAGGAGGGGCTGTGTTTTCGGCCGTTCCTTAGATCCAGGCTGGGGAGCCCAGTCGTGGCCGAGGTTAACCGTGGCCAGAAAAAAAAAGGTGTCTTCACTCAGCGTTCCTGATGGTAGCGCGATGACTGCACAAAGGCGGGATGCGCTCTGTGCAAACTGACTTCGCACATACGCACCCACCCACACAAACACACACACACACATACATACGCACGCACGCACGCACACAGACACACACACACACACACACACACACGCACGCACGCACGCACGCACGCACGCACACGCAGCACACGCAGCACACGCACACGCACACGCAAACACGCATACACACATACACGCATACGCGCACGCACGCACGCACGCACGCACGCACGCACGCACGCACGCACGCACGCACACACACACACACATACACACACACACACACACGCACGCACGCATGCACGCACGCACGCACGCACGCACGCACGCACGCACGCACACGCAGCACACGCACACATGCATGCACGCACCCACCCAAACACACGCACACACACACACACACACACACACACACACACACACACACACACGCACACGCACACGCACACGCACACGCACACGCACGCACACACACACACACACACACGCACACACACACACACACACACACACACACACACACACACGCACACACGCAGACGCACACGCACACGCACAAACACACACACACACACACACACACTCACACAAACACTCGTTTGACGTCGCGGCCCTGCGCGCAGCGACAGGGCGGAAAAAGTCGTAGAGCAGCAAAAACGCGAGCGTCTGGGAGCGCACGAGCCCTCAGATACCGCTTAAGTCCCGCAGCAGCCGCCCGCCATAAGCCATCTGGGCGTGGATGACGGGGGGGACGGTGGACTGGAAGGCGGGGGGAGCGAGTAATCAGTGTGGAGCGACACGGAGATCAAGACCGACCCAAAGCCCATACGGGCAGGGGTGTCACGGGCCCACGGCGAGCAGGAGCCGGCAGAAGGGCACCAAGGGAGGCGCAAAGGAGGCCAGGGGCCAGTCAGTAGACACGCACACACACAGACACACACACACACACACACACACACACACACACACACACACGCGCACACGCACACACGCGCACACGCACGGATTTGCACAGACCATTGCCGCCTCCAGCCAAGACGCCCGAGACCCGCGGCAGGTCGGCGAGGTGCGGGTGCTGCTGGCGCGCGTAGGCGCACCGCCCGGTGGCCACGTACCTCCTCGCCCTCGCTCTCCTCGGCCCAGTGATCTTCAGGACTCGGAGGAGGAAAGGATACCCCAGAGTTTGTAATAAAAGGGAGGGGGTCAAAACCCTACAGACGAGCAGTTCTAGACGTCCCCCCTCCAGACCAGCCATGAAAGGGCGGCCTGTTGTCCAGACCACAATGGAACTCAAGACCCACTCTCAAAATAGACCCCCTCCCAAATCAGACCACCCCCTTTATGTTGTGAAAGCCGGAGTACCGATACCGCCACCTTTGCCTCTTTTTTGACGTCCTGGGCCTCCTGGGAGGCCCTCGTCGTCTCGGCTGGATTCGCCTCGAAATTCTTGACGCTTCGCGTATCCCCACCAGCCCATCCAAAAACGATGCCCAGGCGAATTGCGGTGATCAGGGAAGTGAGGGAGCATACAGAGTAGCAAAGGGCTGGGGGACCCGTCTTACCCAAGAGGGCGAGGATGGAGGAGGAGTCGGAGGAGGATGAGGAGGAGGAGGAGGGGGAGGAGGGGCAGCAGGTGGGAAAAGTGGGAGGAGGGAGGAGGGAGGAGGGGGAATAGGCGTGTGGCGGACGGTCGCAGTGACCTGTGACGTGAACAATGGCCTGACACACATGGATCAGGAGACATGCCAATCACAAGAGTGGCGCGGGACAAAATGTGAAACAATGCTCTCCGCACGAAAAGGAGCGCCGGGGCAAAGCACGCAACGAACATGTCACGAAATTCGGCTCCTAAATGCGTGCGGCGGCATCCTCCTGCAGGAGGGGCGCCGAGAGAGGCGCCGCGGGGGGAGGGGCGGAGGCGGGCCTCCGGCGGACGTCCGTGGCGTCGACGTCGCGGCGGCGAGCGGCGGGCGCGGCGCTCGCTCCACGTGCTTCCCGCTCGCACGCTCTGGCCCTCCTCGCTTCCCTCTCCTTCCCCCACACGAGCGAGCCTGGCATCGAGCCTTTGGAAATCCGAGACGAATTCTGTGCTCCCGCCTTCTCGAGACGACGCGAGCACTCCTTTCCAAGGTCTTTCAACTGCTGGGTGCTATAGGCCCCGCACGTGAGGCACCAAAGCAGGCTTCGATCAGGAAGGAACGCGAGATCATGGCTCGGGTGCGCGTCGCGGCTGCGAATGCACACTCTCGCTGTCGGGCGGTACACTGCGCCCGTCCAAGACATGGGATGACAAGGAGTGGACAGGAGCGCCGTGACATGCTGTGCGGACGCTCTGCATCCGCAGGCAGTGCACTGAGAGAAATCGCCACACAAGATTGGGCACTGGTGCTCCGTGGCCGCTGCAGCCCGGGCCAACTTCTGACGAGCGTTAACCCGCGTGCGCACTACAGGCGGCCTTGGCGCTCGACGCCCCTCTTTTTCCATCACATCTGACATGACCGCCAGGAGATGTTTTGACATTTGCGGGTGGCAGCATCAGCGAACGAAACAGAGGCTGACACCGCATATGGCACTTTTACTTCCTCGGCGAAATATCCAGCGATCTGGTCGGCGATGGCATTCGCTATGACAAAGCCAGGACATATACCTCGCTCTAAAGCCTCCTGAATCTCGAGGTGGCTAGGGATCTGAACCAACACCACGTCACGATCCGACGAGAGCGAAGCAACTCGGCCCCATAAATCACGATGAGAGTGCACACGATCAAGGGCGCTAGCCTGGATCTTGGCAAAACCTCGGGCGACATACGCCGAGTCAGCCACATATCCCAAGCTGGCACCGGGAGGGGCCTCTTCGAGGAATCTTAAAAGGGCCCAAAGTTACCCTCTATTAACACTCTGCTTCCCAGAAATGCCACCCTCAGCTACGAAGCTGAGCCCCAAGTGAGAGACTTGAGGGAGGGAGGTAACATCATGGCTCAAAACCGCGACGCCCCAAGACACCCGCTTGAGCCGCCTGTCCTTCGAGAACTCCCCTCCGCTCGCATCCCCCGCTCCCCAGATGCGAGTTCCCTGGGGGGGCAGAGAAGCAGAACCCCCTCCGTCCCCTCCCAGACTGGGAAACGCACCCGAGGCGCAGGAGAGGGGGACGTCGGGGGGGGGAGGGAGATGGGTCCAGGACTTGGGTGTGAGGCCGCGGAGCCAATTACCCTGCGACGTACCCGACCCACGTGCATCAAATGGCAAGAGGAGTATGCCAACATTAGCAGGAACAACGACAGTGTAAACGCGGCGATTTGCTGTGCAAGCTACATGGGATGCGCATGCGTTGCACGATTCACAGGACGACGATCGAAAGAACGAGGATTGAGGCCCCAGGATCGAAGAAGAACGGGTACGGGAACGAGGGGTAGGAGAGGGATGGAATGGAGGGCGGGGGGGGCGAAAGGCCATCGCGGAAGCAGCAGCATGCATGGAGAAGGTGAGGCGGGGAATAGGACGACGATGAAAGTGGCGGGAGGAGACAGAAGACTGCCGCGTTTTTCAAGTGCGAGCTAAACCCGCAGCGCTGCCTGCGCCATGTCGTCGCAGAGTTCCACATGATAAAACTTGTTTAGAGTGCAAGGAACGAGCGAGGCGTAGCTCGCCCGCTAGCTTCTCCGCCTCCTTCCCGCACATTTCAGCGCGGGAGCTGAACGCTCGCAGGCGCGCCGCCAGGTCTGCGGGCGGCCCGCGGGAAAGAAACTCAAGGCCGGGGTCGCGCATCATCAATCGGTTGTCCATCGTCCAAAGTTGCACTGGCGACGTACTGGTTGAACGCGGAGCGAGCAGCATCACGCGCGTGCCTGAACGCCACGCAGGTACAGTGCACGCGCGATTGGGACTTCAGGTCGATCGCGCGCGTCTCCACCAGGCTTGGCAACACCACGCGACTGAGGATCTCACTGCGGTCTGCCATGCTGCTGTCCGCGAATGCAATGCGCTGCCTGCAAGTAAGGCGGCGGCGTCCACTTGTCTCAGAAGATGTTCCCGCGGGCCCGAAGGGCGACCGCCAGCTCGAGCCGCGGCGCCGGCAGGCCAGATAAGGATCATGCAACAGCAAAGACGATGACAGAGCAACGAGGTATCGGCGAGTGCATGACCGGCCTCCGTTTCCTGCACTTCTTTCCTGTAGTTCCCCTAGCTCATCGAGCTCAGCAGATGTTTCTGCGGGTCCGAAGGACGACCGCCAGCTCGAGTCGCAGCGCCGACGAGCTGCATCCACATCAGGCAACACCCCAGGAGACACTGGCACACAACGATTTGACGTCAGTCAGTGCCAGACCACTCCATGTCTAGTTCCTCGCACACATACAGACGATCGCAGATGCGGGATAGACGAAGTAAATGACGGGTCCAATCTGCGTCCGCGTAGGACGTCACTATGCTGGACCCCGCAGCAGGTCTCGAAAGTGGCGACAGTTTCGTGGGCCCCACAGCAGCCTTCGAAAGTGGCGCAAGTTCACAGATCGTAGCCCCCCAGCGCTGGCGAGGTCTAATCTGAATCCCCGTAGGACGTCACTCCGCTGGCCCCCCAAGCAGCCTTCGAAGGTGGCGACAGTTTCACAGATCGCAGCCCCCCAGGGATGGCGAGGTCTAATCTGTATCCCCGTAGGGCGTCACTCCGCTGGGCCCCCCACGCAGCCTTCGAAAGTGGCGACAGTTTCACAGATCGCAGCCCCCCAGGGATGGCGAGGTCTAATCTGAATCCCCGTAGGGCGTCACTCCGCTGGGCCCCCCAGCAGCCCTCGAAAGTGGCGACAGTTTCACAGATCGCAGCCCCCCAGGAATGGCGAGGTCTAATCTGAATCCCCGTAGGGCGTCACTCCGCTGGGCCCCCCAGCAGCCTCGAAAGTGGCGACAGTTTCACAGATCGCAGCCCCCCAGGGATGGCGAGGTCTAATCTGAGTCCCCGTAGGACGTCACTCCGCTGGGCCCCCCGCAGCCTTCGAAAGTGGCGACAGTTTCACAGATCGCAGCCCCCCAGAGATGGCGAGGTCTAATCTGAATCCCCGTAGGGCGTCACTCCGGTGGGCCCCCCAGCAGCCTCGAAAGTGGCGACAGTTTCACAGATCGCAGCCCCCCAGGGATGGCGAGGTCTAATCTGAATCCCCGTAGGGCGTCACTCCGCTGGGCCCCCCAGCAGGCCTCGAACGTGGCGATAGTTTCGCAGATCGCAGCCCCCCAGGGATGGCGAGGTCTAATCTGAGTCCCCGTAGGGCGTCACTCCGCTGGCCACCCCAGCAGCCCTCGAAAGTGGCGACAGTTTCGCAGATCGCAGCCCCCCAGAGATGGCGAGGTCTAATCTAAGTCCCCGTGGGGCGTCACTCCGCTGGCCACCCCAGCAGCCTTCGAAAGTGGCGACAGTTTCACAGATCGCAGCCCCCCAGGGATGGCGAGGTCTAATCTGAGTCCCCGTAGGGCGTCACTCCGCTGGCCCCCCAGCAGCCCTCGAAAGTGGCAACAGTTTCACAGATCGCAGCCCCCCAGGGATGGCGAGGTCTAATCTGAGTCCCCGTGGGGCGTCACTCCGCTGGCCACCCCAGCAGCCCTCGAAAGTGACGACAGTCTCGCAGATCGCCGCCCCCCAGGGATGGCGAGGTCGAATCTGAGTCCCCGTAGGGCGTCACTCCGCTGGGCCCCCCAGCAGCCCCCGAAAGTGGCGACAGTTTCGCAGATCGCAGCCCCCCAGGGATGGCGAGGTCGAATCTGAGTCCTCGTAGGGCGTCACTCCGCTGGGCCCCCCAGCAGCCCTCGAAAGTGGCGACAGTTTCACAGATCGCAGCCCCCCAGAGATGGCGAGGTCTAATCTGAGTCCCCGTAGGGCGTCATTCCGCTGGGCCCCCCAGCAGCCCTCGAAAGTGGCGACAGTTTCACAGATCGCAGCCCCCCAGGGGTAAGAGCAAGAGAAGAGAGGAGGAGACGGGAGGAGGCCGGAGGTGGAGACCACAGTGCTCTATTCAAAACGAGTACCCAACGCAGGAGGGTTGGGGAAAAAAATGACACTCCGAAGCTGCCATGGCCCCGCGCTGGGCGAAAGCCTCCGAGATGTC